TGGTAGTCTCGAAACCCTACTCTTATACGAATATAATATTTGTAGGTCTGATGATTATAGTGAGAACCTTTTGTAAGGCAAGTGTAAATTAAATGTAATGTCACTTGACTTTGTAGGACAAATTGCTTAATAAAGGGCTAGTAATTAATTCGAAATATACTCATGGTGTATTTAAGTAATTTCGTCGATTATTATGTTAAATATATATATATATGTATATATATGAATATTTGTCATTAAAAAAATATAGTATGTGCTCTGTGATAAGCCCTGCTTTATCTGTGACTCCTTGGCGTCTGTAGCTTACGATACGGTTCAGAATCCCGTTTATGCTGCTGATGAGAGCTAAGGTACATCGAAACTGCCTTGCGGACAGGATGAGAAGCCGTTTTAGGAGGCGAAGCTAAGTGAACTTCAATGGCATCACAAGGCCTACTTATCTAATTGTGAGAAAAATTCAGTTGTCAGTCCTCAAATCGCCTTAACCGATCTAGGGTAACTAAGTTCTTAGATGTTGTTTGACCTCGTTTTTGCAACTTGGTTATGTTGGCAGGACGACTTAGAGGAACGCACCTAGTCTGGAGTCTATTGTATGCATGATCATTTCCAAAGTCTGACCGTTGTGTGCCAACCCACAAAAGTTGTGGTTTACTATTGAACCTAATCAAAACAAGAAGTACCACAACATTTGTGGGTTAGCACACAAGAAACTAAGGCATAGCAAGCAATATGCTTGGTGCTATGGATAGAAACAGGATAGACGCTGCGGAGACTGGAACTTGTTGGCTGAGAATAGGTCTGTTGTACCATAAAATTGGTCCATGCAGCAAAGGCTTGACGATGAGATTTAATCAGAGGCTTGAGCCTCGAATTAGTCACCCAGGCGCAGGGGAGGACGAATACCGCATCGAGTAGAACAGATGGGGTGGCAGGGGTCGAGTGGAATACGTGTACCAAAGAGATAGCAAACGGATATTACGAGGCAAGAGAGAGACTGTGATAAGACCTATGGAAGGAGGACTGCGTAACAATCTGGCAGACTCTGATCAACATTCCAAGGACAAGGGTGAAGGGGGTGAGAACGACAGCGTGGAGTGTGAAAGGTTTCCATGAATGCCACTCAAAGGAGCACATCACACGACATCTAAATGAGCACGGTAAAATTGTAATAGTGAAGGTGTGGTAGGAGGGTATAGGAAATGTGAATGGCCCAGGGCAGAAGGGGAGCT